CAACCTAGCAAGGTCTGTCAGACTGAAAAATTAACTAACCCAAGAAATTCCAATGTAAGAGAAATACTCCAGGTCAGATGCGGATTATTTTTCAAAACTCTCGGGCTCCGGCACAGCCGGCTAAGCTGCGTGCTATTGGCACCAGGAGCATTTCGATTCGACAGTCAGTTAAAAGTAATGCTTCTTTTTTAGATTATGAGACTAAAATGGATAATCTTTCCCAAAAGGATGTAATCTCTCATCTGTAAGACCCATTAACAGGTTTAGCTGAATTTCATCACGCGAGCAGGAGCTGCTGGCTGTGGGTTTTAATAAGCAGGGCTCTTCCCCCTGCGACTGTCTTCATTGCCGGCAAAAGGGAACATTTCCACCTTCTGCCCAAAAGCGTTCGCACAAATGAAGAAAGAACTCCTCTCTCACCATCTAGAAAATAATTTTTTATTAGCAAACTCACTAGATTTAATGACACCACTAAAATATGTGTGAACAGCAACAAAAATTAAACAAGGACTCCTGAACCAGAATATTTTGAAAGAGCCCAGAAGATTTGTGCATCACTTTTTCCTCGCTGGAAAAAGATCAGACAGTTCTCTTGACATTCACGTTTACCATCCCAGTCAAAAAACCCCTTAAAGCTTTGGTTAGATTTCTTCAATAAAAGACCGTACTCTCTGGAAATATTTCAGTTTGGAAATCACATGGACAAATAGTGTTGATAATACGTAAGTTTGAGAACGCTGCTACAAAGGGCTACATGACAATATTTTAGAATCAGCTTTCTAATTTTAGGCTATTTTTGCAGACTTGAAACGTATTTCACCTTCATTCTGAAGGAATCTGCGCTGCTTCAAAGCGAGGGGAGGGAGCAGGCAGAAATTTTCTCCCCTTCCAAGTTCTCCTCAGCTACAAATTGCTGCAGCATCGTTGATCATAAAAAGGGGGGCTGGGGGTTTTGTTTTTGAAAGCAGGCTGGAAAAATGGATTTTAAAAATTATATATTAGGACTCCATTAAAAATTTAGAACATTTGATTATTGTAGACTTAATTAAGGGGGGAAAATAAAGTCCCTCCACCACCGACAAATCAGGGGATCTGCTATCCGTAGACGGAAAGCAGCAGGTATGCTGCGGCGGGGGGAGGGAAAGGCGGGGGGGTGCCCCCCTGCCTTTTCTTCCCGGGCAGGAGAGCCGGCACGGCTGCCGGGGGGCGAGGGCAGGGGGCAAAAGGGAATCTCCCTTTGCAAATTCATTTTTGAGTTTTATTGAGGCTTCCAACAAGGCGACGTGCGTTTTGAAGGGACGTGCTGGTTTCCTGAAGGCTCAGCAGAAGTACATGGGATCGTTTCGTATTTGCTTTCACCCTAACGCAGAGGAGAAGGAAAAGCGATGAGGATCCCTGCCTGTCCTTGGCCAGAAAGCTTCGCTTTAAGCTCCTACCAAGTTCTTCTCCAAATTGCACCTAGAACACACAAAGGTCTCAGGAAGTACATGGTCTGTGGAGTGCTAGACCTGATTCAAATGTCTCTGTTAGACCAAACCCCCAAGTTTGAGTTTCGAGAAATCATTCCTAATTAAGGAATATTAAGCCATCACGGGCAGCGGTTAAAAAAATAGCTGAATGATATATTTAGCATGTTCCCTGTGAGTCTTGGGCTAGAAGTACTCACAGTTAAAAAGTGATGACTATCACCAGTCAGGGAACTTCTTCTGAACCTGTGAAGTTCAGAGCATACAGTTTCCATTCCCACAATTTGCCTTCAGCCATCACGGCAACATGAACAGTGAGGATTTTGTGACCCCACATCCTCAAGCCAAATAAAATGTTCTCTTGTGCTTCATTATCTAGGGACTGTATTAAAAAAAGAAAAAAAAAAGTTACAGCTATTTAGATACGTCAGTACATCGAACCCTACGGAGCGAGGCAACGCACAGGAGCGTGTTTCATCTTTCTGTTGAAGAAATACTTTGAGAGCCACAAGCAAGCGTGTGCTGCACATGTATATCCCATCCAGAAAAAAACCCGAAAATATAAAGGATATTTTGAATTATTTTGTCGTTAATGGGTAAGTTATGTTTGCTATTACCCTCTGAAGAAGGGCTCCTTTTAAGTCTAGTTTTATTTGGGAATCCGCAATCCCTGAAAATCTGTTGGAGAACAAACGGTGAATCTGCCGAGAGCCACAGCCACAGCTCATCAGCCACACGGATTTTGGAACTGCAATATTAGCTGGTTCTCAGTCTTGACGATACTTCAAACCGTCTTCACTAAACATAATATTCTACCGTACGAAAGCCTACAGAAAAGGTCTGCTGCCAGAAAAAGAGAAGTCTATGCGGCTGAAGATGCTAACATCGACAAAAGGAAATGTTTTCAAAATACCTGTAATGACTCAAAAAAACCCACCCAAACACAGCATATGATGATTGAAAATTGTTATAAAGAACAGAACAGCGAAAAAGATCATTTGGCTAAGTACAAATTACCGTGGATATAGGAAGATGAGCAGTAAAGCATTAGGCACGGAGATTTGCTTGGTCAAGGCACAACTCCAGTCGTACCTAGGCAGATGACAAACGTAATGAAATGTTTAAAATTATGATTTTTTTTTCCCTTTCAGATTGGTCCTGCTGTCTCTGTTCCAGATTTCCAGTTTAGCTCTAGTTTCATATTCCCATTGGGCTCTGCAGTGCTGGTCTCGTTCTTATGATGGAGCGGCCTCGAACAAGACTGCTGGGTATATCCTGCAATGAGCATCTAAACCAGGTCTTTTTCAACGGTTTTGCTAAGCTTAATCTTATTTTCTTTTAAAGCAGCATTTAGCCCGTAAGAGAATTCCCCAAACAGACCTGGGATTTTTAAAATTTTCCTCTGTAGCCCAGACAGCTTTGATGTCTTACCAGTATTTTGGACATTTTGTCTGCCTCCTGTAACGTCGACTGTCAGTCAGTACCTGGCCAGTGCTTCAGATGAAGTTGTTGCCTTCTGCTCTAACGTTCTGATAGAGACCGAATACAAAAGAGGGAGCCCGAGAGAGCTCCTTGGGGTGAAATTAAGCCCAGAACAGGAACTGTGTGTCTGCATAGATATTTGCATGGTAGCAAAATTTCTGGAATTTAATAGATTGCTTCTGCAAAAGTCTTTGGAGAAGAAAAAAAAAAAAAATAATAAAAAATCCCTCTACAGAATGATCGAGAGCTACACACAGAGAAATGCTTTCAAAACACAAGCATTTAATTTTTTTAAATGTTAAGTGAGATGTAAATATGTACGTTAGCAACAAAGTGCTCAAAAGCATACTGAAAACATATTCCATACACAGTTAGCAATAGAAGTCTGTACAAAAGTAATAAAGTTACACATTATAAAAAATACTCCGTAACTATAATTTAAAAGAGGGAAAAAAGACAAGGGAATTGATTTCTCAGTTCATATAATTTATTGCAGTTAGCACACAGTTTAAAAATTCACCAACACACCAATAGTACAAAACTAAACAGCATTATAAGTTATTCCCCCCTCAGGAAAATAAAACATACTATGATTGTCAAAGCTAGATGTCAGTCTAAGTTTTAGAACAAAAGAAGAATGTGAAACTAAGGAAAGGAAAAAAGCAATCACTCACGAGGACCACAAAAAAATCCAAGAGAAAGTCCATTTTCCTCAGACACTGATTGTCTTCTCTAACTCAAGAAAAGAATGTAGTTTTAAAACCTAGAAACTATTCAAGTAACTAAAGATAACGCTCCAAGGCCATTTTCACAGCTTTTTTTTTTTTGTTTTAAATGCCATTACAGCCAAATTAACACACATTTGACCAAATATTTCCAAAACAGTCCAGCAATACACAATGGAGTTTTCCATTCAGTATCTTAAGCACAAAAATAGGCTATGTTTACAGTAGTTAAGGCGATCAAATTTTAAACAAAAGCAGAGAGAAAAAAAAAAAAGGGGAAAAAAAAAAAAGGAAAAAACAGCAAACGTTTTCCATGCTACTCCCATAGACCTTATTTGTAAGTGCAAGACAGGAAAACAAACACTGTGCAAAATGCTTTTGACCCGCGTGTTGGCCATGAAAACCACACGTCAGGCTGCAGTCTCTGCTGCTTGGATACCCACCGGCCTCCCCTGCCCTCCCC